AGATAAAGTCACTGTTGAATTATCTCTCAGAAATGTTTTGTCAATACATGATCTGTACTATTCTACACAATACCATATATATATACCATTTATAAAATAACCAGAATGGAAATATTTGACATTTACTCTATTTCAAGTTTTTCAAACGTACACATAAACACTTTAATCAAACGGACACAAGAACAGGGTCCCAGTGAGTGAACTCTGAACAGAGTATAAGTGTGAGACAGCCAGCTCAGCCAAAAATCTCTTCAGATTCAGCTTTAGTAATCGAACAGTGACCTCACTCGGGTGAAAAATCAAAGCCTTAGAGATTTCACCATTTATAATTTTTCCACTCAAAACCATTGTCATTTTCCTGAGTAGCTTGATTTCACAACAGTGGTTATTGTGAAAACAATAACAATCATGAACTTCATGGCCTCACATTCTCCTTTCACAATTATTGATGTATGTTGATATTATCTGTTATCTTCCAGAATCCTGAGTGCTGACCTCTTAGGTTTGATATGAATGCTATACTACTTTTTGAAATTCTTCATTTATTGATAAGCTTGTTCAGATAGTATGTTCTGAGTGTATCTCTTGATCAGACTGCCTCCCACTGTACCTGTGGTGTTTAAAATCATTAAGTGTATGTTTAGCCAGTTTTGAGCCTTGCTTTTACCCAGAGTATAACTACAGTTTTATATGATAACAGTGGGGATATATACGGGGATTAATAAATTACTTCTGATTCTGATATAATAACAATCATTGACTGTTCCTTTTACATTTCATTTTAAAAGCCTTTTCAGGACTTCCATTGTTATTGTTGTCATTTCTACAGGACCCAATAGAGAAATCACATTAGATTAAAATGTGTTTTTATTAAATCATATAGTCATAACCTTCATTAAAGAGAATAAACCTGAGTGAACCAGTGTTGCAGAGGGTGAGTGAGCGCCTGTCCTCTGTGAGGCTGCTGCCCCCTGTAGGCCATGCCTGCTGCTGTCTTCCGGTGCAGCAGGGGGCGCTGCCTGCTCCTGACGAGAGGTGGCTCTGCGGAAGAATTGCAGCGTCAGACTTCCGCAGCCCCAAGATCGTCTCAGACCTGAGGAGGAGGAAGAGGACATTCCACACAAAATGGTACGTAAATATGACACTTTGACTTTATATATAAACTCGGTACCGTCAGTCAGTGTGTTTCAACGTGTGTGGGACGGTGGTAAAGTGTTTCCTGCGGTTCGAGGCGCAGATGTTTGTGGATGTTTGCGGCTGGTCGGTTTGTTCCGGGCCGGTGAAGTGTGGAGCTCCAGCGTGGCGCTTCATGGCTGACGAAACCTCAGCTAACTCCTGCCATGCTGGACTCAAACACTCACACTCAAAGACAGAGGATTTAAAGACGGATTAAATCCCCTCTGTGGGACAACGTCCACACAGATGTTTAATACAGCTGTAGCCATGTTGCGTTGCCTGTGCGGTTTCCCTCTCTTCTTGTTCTTCTTAGCTAGCATGCTAACACCCTGACTCCTCTCTCCTCAGGGTTTCGTCAAAGTGGTGAAGAACAAGTCCTACTTCAAGAGATATGAAGTGAAGTTCAGGAGGAGGAGAGGTAATTACTGTTCACCGGCTCTACAGGGTCCACGCACACTTTTATTGATCTCCATTAACAGATCGTTTTGATTCTTCATCTCCATTAACAGATCATTTTGATTCTTGTTTAATTTGTCAGAGGGGAAAACCGACTTCTTCGCCCGAAAGCGCCTGGTGGTGCAGGACAAGAACAAGTACAACACACCCAAGTACCGCATGATCGTCAGGTTTTCCAACAGGGACATTTGTTGCCAGGTCAGCAGCTGCAGGACTCAAGGCAAACTCATCTGATCACAACATGTAAATGGTCAGATTTAACACTTTGTCTCTCTCTGTCCTGTCCAGATTGCCTATGCAAAGATTGAGGGGGATCAGATCGTGTGTGCTGCCTACTCCCATGAACTGCCCAAATATGGTATCACTGTAGGCCTCACAAACTACGCTGCAGCCTACTGCACAGGGCTGCTTCTGGCCCGCAGGGTAAGAACACAACACTCACACAGAGTGAGCTGCAGATGTCAGCAGAGACACCACTGATTAGACATTGAGTTGTGCGCTGCAGTAGCAATTCCAGAAGCCAACTTTGTCAGATTAATTCAATCACTGTATTGTAAAACCAGCATGAGCAAAAGTAAAATATCTCTCTGTGTGAAGCGTTTTTCTCACATTGTCTGTTTTTGTCCCATCCTCCTCTTCAGCTGCTGCATAAGTTCGGTATGGACCAGGTGTACGAGGGCCAGGTGGAGGTGACGGGAGATGAGTTCAATGTAGAGAGTGTCGACGGTCAGCCAGGGGCCTTCACCTGTTACCTGGACGCAGGTCTGGCCAGAACCACTACGGGGAACAAGGTTTTCGGAGCGTTGAAGGGGGCAGTCGACGGAGGGCTGGCCATTCCTCACAGGTGAGCATGATAAGAGAATGAAGTTTTTTTTATCTTGTCTATGCAGTTTTCAAGCAAGAACACAAAGGAGCAAATTACAAACGTTCTCAGTTATTATTTTGAACACAGTTTGTACCCTTGTGCAATAAAAAATAAATAAACAGAGTAATCTGTGGCTGCTGGTTCTTTTCTGCTTCTTGATGATGATACAAAGCACACTGAGCAAAATGTAGTTGGTCCTTCATTTGCATTAGCTGATGTTTACTGTCCTTTCAAGACGGGGCTGAGAGAAGCAAACAGAATCAGAGCAGACATTGATTTCTATGAATTTTTTTATATTTAGCAGAGCTCTGTAGAAAACTGAACATAGTTTTCAGTTAGTTTCTGAACAAACTGAATGTTTTGAGAAAACTGTTGACAGAAGAAACTATTTTACACGAGACAGAAACAACTGCATATATTTTTGTCAACTAAGAATCAAAGTGTTTGGAGATGCTGGGTCGTCTGACTGATGACAGTAGTGTGATCCCTGCTCTTTGTTGTTTCTAGTGTGAAACGCTTTCCCGGTTATGACACTGAAAGTAAAGAGTTCAACGCAGAGGTGCACCGTAAACACATCATGGGCATGAACGTGGCCGATTACATGTCGTACCTGATGGAGGAGGATGAGGATGCCTACAAGAAACAGTTCTCTCGCTTCATTAAAAATGGCGTCACGTCAGACACGGTAAGATTTTAACAGCATGAAAACAGGATGTCTGGACAGCATCTGGCTTTGGTTACAGGTGTAGAATCCAATTCGTTTGGCAATTAGCCACTTAATTTATATTTTACTTTATATTTATATTCCTAAATCATGTTGAATTAGCCGAGGTCTGTGAAATATCTTGAATGCAGCTATGTGGCTGTGGGCATGTACTGTATGTTGGCCAATAAAATAAGAACAGAAGTATTTATCACACGTCACTAACAGAGATTACTGACCTTATATACTGACCTTTCTGCTTCTTGATGATGATACAAACACGCTGAGCAAAATGTAGTTGGTCCTTCATTTGCAATAGCTGATGTTTACTGTCCTTTCAAGACGGGGCTGAGAGAAGCAAGACTAATCAACATATATGCAGTGAAGTGCATAAACACATATCACAAAAAAATAAAAAATACACACGCATTTGTCTGTTTTGTTCTTTTCAGGTAGAAGAAATGTACAAAAAAGCACACGCCTCCATCAGAGCGAACCCTGTTCACGAGCAGAAACCCAAGAAAGACGTCAAAAAGAAGAGGTGGGTTCCTGATTTCCATACCTCTGTTTGTTTGTTTTACTTTATATATTTTTATTTTTTAAAAATCATCTCACACCAGACAATTATCCATGTCATGGTAAGAAAAGAACAGGTGCTACGGTGACTTGGCCAGCATGAATGTCAGGACTGTGAAACTGAAAAAGTTACACAGAATTCATAGATTTAATTGTTTCTCTGTGCTTTTCCTGCTGTAACTGTTCAAAATGGCTGTTAAAAGGCCTATTGTGACAATATATCCCTTAATATACTCACATTTTTGTTGCATGGGGGAATAAACTTCCTCAATTCAGCGTCAGCTCCCTCTTGAAGTGTTGAATAATACTGGGAACATCCCAAAGCTGAGCCGTCAAACTTTCCTCCATGACTGTGCTGAATGTTAATGGAGTCTTTATTGTGTCTCTTTCTGTGGCAGGTGGAATCGCGCCAAGTTATCTCTGGCACAGAGGAAGGATCGCGTCGCCCAGAAAAAGGCCAGCTTCTTACGAGCACAAGAACAAGAAGAAGGGGACGGTTAGGGGCCCGGCACAGGGCCCTGCTGCAAAAACACACACTTCACAGACAAATAAATTTATTTCAAACTCATGCTTGTGTCTGGCTCAGTCCATTTTTACTTCCACCCTGGAGATTATGTTTCCATCTACGTGCATTTTTATTATGTAAGAACTACTCAACTGATTTCCATGAAGTCTTGTGGAGGAGTGGGGAATGGTGGTTCCAGGAATTTTAGTTTAGCTTTAACGTGGCGAGATGTGGTATTAGCTCTGGCAGAGGAATGTTTGAGTGTCCCAAGTTCTTAAAATGAGTTATGCCTGTACTTTAAACCTTGGACAAGGAGGTTGTTTTTATCTGCGATTATTAGGATTAGGCAGAAATCACTGGATTGATAACCATGCAGCTTGATAAAAGGATCTGAAATGGGGCTGCTCCAGGTTTTTATGGATTTGAGATAGGCCGTTCGACATTTTTCTTAAAAGAAAATCAGACGGACTGATGACTCGGGACTGATGTGAGTATGTTGTTGCAGATGCAAATTAAAATCCCAAATTTGTGAAACCAAATATTAAATATGGTTTCATAAAGGCCTGTTGGGCCTTGGTAGAGGTATGAGCTCTACTGAGAGGCAATCTAGTTTTTTTCTAGTGATGGTCATGGGTGTAACTGAAAGCTGATGTTGACAGTGATAACCTCTGATATTAGTTGTAGTGTAAATTGTGAGTGACAGGTTGGACACATTACAGTGAAGTGGTATGTAGTTTAATTGTGCAAAATCATGCTGGTTTCTTCAATAAGTAAACATTTTCTTATCTTTTTTACATTTTCAAACAGCAGCACTGACCACAAGCTTCACATGCTTTACAGGTCATATCTAACATGTCTGTCTGAGGTGCATTGATAACAATGCATGATAAAGTTAGGCTGTCAACATGGTCACTGTTACACATCTGAAGTGTGGAAGGAACCATGGAAAAAAATATATAGATTTTTCTAATGTGACCATGAGACCGGACAAACTTCACCATCAGCAGTGGTTAAACATTCATCATAGAACGACCTCAGCATGATCTCTGGCACTGTGACGGATGAAAATCCAGAAAAGATAACGTGATACAGTACATTTACCAAAAATGCGGTTGTAGTGAATAGTACACATAGATAACATTCACAGACCAAATTAAATACATAATTATTTTCTCTTTGTGTCGTTGATGCAGCATTGATGATGTCACTTACAGGTGGAAAACTTGGAAGTACACTGACGCAAAGTAACAACCCTGTGCAGTACTGACACATGAATACCATCACATTGAAGCTAATGAGCTGCCACCACTTCATCATACAGATATGTGACCACTTAAAGAAGAGCCACCATGAACAGCTTCAGTGATTTATGTCACTGGATACATTTTTTAAATAATTTGTTGCTTCGCTAATTTATTTAATTTTTAATTAATTTTTTTGCTTATGTGCATTTGTTTGTCACATAGCAGGATTGTGCAAAAAGTACTAAACCGATTTCCATGAAATTTTGTGAACGGGTGTACCCAAAATAGAACCCCTTACATTTTGGTGCAGATCAGAATAAGAGAGTGGATCCAGAAATATATTTTTCACATTCTTGAACATTGTGAGAATTTTGTTGACTTCTCTGAGAATAATTCATGGATTAAAATCAGGCATATTTCAGGGACTGATATTTATGCAATTAGGTGCAGATCCAAATAAAAATCTCTTTTGTTGAAAAGAATTAAGGGGCGAAAATAATTATTGTTATTTCAATACACTTCAAATTGGAGCTTTTGCACAACAATCACTGACTTAATCCTTGTTTTCCCAAATGGAATAAACTCCACAATGATAAACTCTTCAATGTTAACCCACACATCTGTGATAAAAACAGCAATTTAATCTCTCAGCTCTTGACAAACACGCGTAAATTCATTCTGTTTGTCCAGCAGTGCCTCTGAAACATTCCACAGTGGTGAACAATACAATAAAATGTGTCTGTGTGAGTGATGGCAACATGCTATCATTCAGTTCAATTTATTTCAACATAAATGTACGTAAATCCAGGCCCTGAACTTCTGTGAGCAGGTCAGAGGAGGTAGAGTCTCCATCAGTCCATCAATTTATTCACAAGTGTTAAGAGTTGATAAAAATGACTTCATTAAATTTGCACCTTCTATATCACAGCATCTTCATTGCTCAGCTCTACGTAAGAAACTGATTTTTGGAAGATTTCTTCTCCTCGTCACGAGTCCTTGGTGTGTGAGATCTGTCTCCACAGCAGAGCTTTCAGGTTGTTGAGGATAAGCGAGTGCTCCATGTTCATCTGTCCAGCGTTACCCTTCAGAGCCATACAGGCGTACAACTGCCTCTCCAGTTCCTCCCTCATTGCTGACGGTGCCCCACGCAGGAGGTAGTCCTTCAGTGCACCGCATGCTTTCGCCAAGTTTGGCTGGATGGGCTCCTCCCTGCACCTTTTCTCCGACGTGTCACATGATGTCCAGCAGTCCACCCCGTACACGCAGTCAGCATCTGTCTCGCACTTCAGCACACGCATTGTGCGCTTGAACTCGTCTTCGGGAACAACGGCTCGGGTGTTGGTGAGACGGAGCTCGTGGCGGTCAGTGTAACCGAAGTGTGCAGCGGTTAGGTCACAGATGAGGAAGCTGCCGTAAGTGCCATGGAAGATATCCTCTACCAGCTCCAGCAGACCCATGGAGATCTTGGCTTTGCGAGGCCAAGAAGGCGTGAACCACTGGTCCATAGTGCGCTGCAAACTGCTCGGCACCCAGGACACCAGCGGCCATGGTAGAGACAAACCGTACAGGGGCCCGTAGGGGACTCGCTCTGTCATGTACAGGTCCCCGCAGTAGCCCAGGAGGCGAGGAGTGTGTCCACGGTCTTGGAGCAGCAGGCCCAGCAGAACCTCAAAGAACAAAGCAGAACTCTGTTAGATCTGTCTGTCATGTGTCATAGTGTTGCCACAATGACATCACATGCCCTGTTTATATACCTCGTCCATCTGCAGGAGGGCCCATGTAGAGCGAGCCTCTGGCAGTGACACCCGCCCATCTCTGTTGCCATCGGCGACAGACAGGATCTGGCTGACGAGGCTGGCGAGGTTGGCCTGCTCTCCAAGCTTAGACTAAGAGATGGAGAATGACAAGACAGAGAGATTTGTTGATTCAGGCTTTAGTCTGTTGCGACACAAACCTGGTTCTGTCCAAAACTTTCTAACCCACGTCAATGTTTACCTTGAGGTGATTAAAGACCATTTCTCTGAACTTCTCCACTGATGTGCCTTTAGTGGGCTTGTCGAACACAGGGGTCTCCTTCCGAGGCTCCGGCTCCTCACCCAACTCGTAGTGCAAAACCTCCCCCAGTTTACAGCGGATGATTCCATCATGGTCTCCCCAGCTTCCCGTGTATACCTGGTCAACAGTGAGGAGTTAGAACCACTCAGTGATGCTTTAATCATTGGTTAGAGTCATTGTCATACATGGAACAACTTAAAAAAAATTGAAACTTTAGCAGAAGGTACATTTTTTTTCCTACCTGGTTGTTTGACAGTATTGACTGACACCTGCTCAAATAGAGGGTTTCTTTGTCACACAGACTGCTGCAGGCAGAGCCATCGATGATGCCCTTCCTGTATTTATCACACTAGGAGAGAGAGAGAAAATGCAGGGTGCCTCCTTGTAACTCTATTATCCTGTTTATTATTTGAGTAAGAGTGTTGAAAATTTTGAATAAAGCAGGAATATTACATTTCCAGGGTTCTACACAGAAAACACATTGTAGTTGCCACACAGAACTCAAATCATGCCCTGAAAATGAATTGTGTCTTTTTCAAACCACAAACAGTTCTAAAGTTGTCTTGATTTTTAACAGCCTGTAGTCCACGTCTTACTCATTTCACTATTTGAATGATTATTGCATTTTTGTATTCGATGTGTCATAGTCTGAAATACATAGATAAGATGATCGAATGAAGGCAATACTCACAATGGCGTTCTTGCACTCGTGTCCTCTGCACACCTCTGTGTAAGCGGAGTATTGCACATACAGCACCCAGCTCCCCACCAGCACGGTCAGCCATGTAAGGAACAGGTACTTCACTCGAACAAAGGAGATTCGAGCCTATGAATGATGAGCAGAAACACAAAGATGGATCCAAAAGGGAAGTGCTGCTGTGTAATCCTGGTAACACTAATGTCATTCCTAAATGTTTGTCTAAATCACATAAACTGCCTGGAATATCACGTAGACAGAGAGTGCACTGAAAGACTCTTGGTCCAGGCAAGAATTTTGCCATTCTTAACCAACCCTGATTACATAATGGGTTGCCATGGTGACATATTATGTTACAGGGTGTCCCATAACAAGGTACTGGCATCGCTATGTGCCACAATCACCCATTAAACTGGAAAATGGTCTTAGAGGTGCAGATCCTGCAGTTCCGACATGTCATGCCTTTCCTGTTATGGCTGAAGAAAAAAAAAGAATGAGTTCTTGTGTCATGGGATGCACACATCACATGTCTCACAAAGAAGTCCTGTTGTTTTTGAGACATTATGCAAGATAATGGACTTATGTGTACCTACTTTTCACAAAGGATAAAGCATAGAAATGTGATCATATAATACAGAAACATTCACTCCTACAGAAAAAGCTCCCTTGTAAGGGTAAAATTACAAATCCTTGGGTTTACAGAAATGTGAACTCATAAAAAAAAGACACAATCTAAAGACAAAAAAACACTGTTGAAAAGAACAGAGCAAGATACAGTACATGTAGAACTGAAAGATTATGACTTATCTCTGTCTGTTAACTAGTTTTTATTTAGCTTTTACTTATTTGTTCACTCTACAGTGCCAAGAAATAAACCTAATTTAAACTTCACCGGAGCCCTAATATAAAATTGCTCCATTTGTGATATGACACAAAAAGTGAGCGCTGCAGAGAGAAAATGTTTCCTGCTCTCACAACTGGAATTTAATTTAATTTAAAGAAATCAAATGTCAGTAACCATGCTAGCTGCGTGGCTGCACACGTTAAGAAAAGTTAAATGCTCAATAGCAGATTTGACCTGGTGGTGACAGTACACAAATGTCAGAGGTTTACTAAAAGTCTTTAGGATTCATCTTCTGGGGATCATGAATAGCTGTGAAGAATGTTATGTTTGTGTTTAAGTTTTTTCCATTTAAGTTAAAAAGTACAAAAAGTGTGTCCATTACTATTGGAGCTGATATTCTGTCAGTTGATAATTAGCTGGTAAAATGGTCATTTTCAGTATATTCATTATGTGACTATACTGTAGTGTGAAGCATAAATCTGGAAGGTGTAACAGAGCAGTGAAAAAGAATTTAGGTCAAAGCTGTTGTTTCAGCCACAGTGTGTGACTGCACCACAGAGGATCGAGTGATTCTCTCTCTCACATGGCAGATATATCTTATGTCGTGTGTGTTATGTTATGGCGTTTCTCCATTCGGCTTCAGCAGGATTCCCAAATCCCCCCCAAAAACATAATGGACCCAATGAGGTAGGCATCAAGTCAAAAGCATTTCTCTGTTTGATGCTCTGTGATCTTCATTGACAGAACTGGAGATTTTTCTGTTTTAGGTCCATGCCAGTTACAGCAGGACACACACAGATGGTTGATTTACAGTCATCGTTTCAGATTCTTTAATCATTTTTGGCGTAATTGTTTCGATTTGGATTTTGGGCTCTGAAAATGATAAATACCTCTGATGAGGTCCAGGGCTTCCTCATTGAGTTTGTTCACATAAAAGATATAAAAACATCCCCACTGTGAATGACAAAAAAAACAAGAGAACATAGAGGAAAACCAGACTTTGCCTGCCTTTCCTTGATTTCTCTGAGAGTTTTGACAGTGGCATCAAGAGCTGGAGAGATGTCTCCTCTTCAGAGCCTTGTTTTCAAATGCTCTGTGTCCTGAGGAGATGAACAAAAAGATAGTGGGGCCTCCGGGGAGGGAAGAGGCACCATCAGGGGAGTACAGAGCAACTACACACTACAGATCCTCTGGGATACATGAAGGTTCGTAGAAACTGCCTGTGCATCAGACAGACAATATGGTAAGACACAAGGCAGTTTGGAAAAGGAAAGTGACATTGAGTCATGTGTGCATGTTTGATGGTGCGTCTCTGCAAACACATGACCGAGATTAAAAAAAGAAACGAGCAGCAAAGAAGCTACGCCCTCATATAAACCCTTAAAAAGATGTACTAGTTTGTATGTCTAATTCAAGCTGTTTTTAATCTTTATTGTGATATAAATAGATATCAAGGCCTGAAACGCTTCCCTAATGAAACAAACATTTGAATTCACTAGATCCTCATTTTTATTAGGATTAGCACCAAACTTCTCATAAATGTCAGTCGTCTATACATGAATACATCCATGAATCATTCTCTGACATATCTATGAAAATGTTGAAAATCACTGGATCCTCCCCCTAGTCTGCACCAAGACCCTACCCTAGACCGTACCACATCCCTCCACCAAGTTTTGTGGTAATCTGTCCAGTAGTTTTTGTGTAACCCTGCTAACTAACCAACATGGGCTGATGAAAACATAACCACCTTGGCGGGGTTAATTTATTTAAAAAAAAAGAGTAGAATGGAAAAATATTGCACCTAAATTAGATAGGCACACACTATACTGTGCACAGTGGCAGAGACGGAAGATTACTTATTATCACTGATGGTAACAGGAAATGAGGATGAGCAGTGCAGGAAATAAAACGTTCTCAGTTTAATAAAATATGCAAAGTCACATAGTCCCAGACCCATCATGCAAACTGTAGAGTTACCAGCTGTCAACAGTTAGATTCAGTTACCCTGCATTAACCTGCATATCGACTGTCCTGAAGACCAGTCACTCCAGCGCACACAAAAGACCGGCAGTATCACATCTTCACACTCTGCTGGTGGAAGAGCCTGCAGCTAAATGAGCTGCCCTCAGAGTTTCAAGTATAGGGATGGAGGGTGTCAGTAGTTTGTTCTCATCCACCTCCTCCATGGAGTCCACAGAGCTCCTCAGGACAAAGCTGACTGTCCTCATCAGATTGCGTCTCCTTGTCTGCAGCTGAGACATCAACAACCCAACACACACATAAAAGAAAAGGTTGTTAAGCCCTCATGACAGGGCAACTGTTGCAGCACATAAGATGCATGTACCAAAGATCAAACTGACTTCTAAAAGAATGAGGGATATTCACAAAATGCAAAACTGAGCTTTCATGTGGCTTTTTAAACTCTGCCACTTCACAAAAATGCTTTGAAATTCCAAAGCGGTTTGTCCTACTTGAGTCAGGAGGATATTCAGGTTCAGTCCAGTACAATAGCTGTTTCATACATGTGTGGATGGCAGGTTTGGTCCAAAAGAAGTTAACTGCATAACTTTGGTCAAACTAAAACCTTAAAAATAAGCCTCTGGTATTTCTCTGCCAAGTTATCCATTAAAGGTCTGTCATGTTGCCATGAGGAACAGGGCTGTGGACCTTAGCACAAACCAGACACTGTGTTCTGCAACAGATCTGGATACCCCCACCACTGCCATAAACCAGCAGACCCCTTTACAAGATTTGGTACAGGCCAGAATTTGCATCACATAGAAAGCGACCTTTTAACTTAGACACATTCGTAATACAGAAGCAACCATGCGAACTGACACATCACGACATACAAACAACAGACAAGCATGGCCAAAAATGTAACCATGTCGGTCTTGCTTTGCCTATGTGCAGAACCACCTCTGCACATAATGTCTGAGTATGAATGAAAGATATAGGACGTAGGGCTGGGCAATAAAACAAGATGGATAATTACCTGAATATAATTTTCATCAATAACAAAAGTGCACAGTGAGGACACAGAACACATATTAATCCACCTCAGATTTGTTAAATCTTTTCCATAAAGGAGTTTAAAACCTTCACTCAGAAGCTAAACATAGTAATGTGACATAAATCGCTGATAATCAATGATATTGACTGACATATACATTTTGATCTGTTATATTTTTGGCCATAGAACTATGCTAACAAGCACAAGATGAGATGCCGGATTTCAACACTAATCTTATGCCCGATGTCCTTGAGCCAGTTGTCCAGGCTCAATCATAATAGCCTGACTTTGTTTATATTGTAATGCACCAACATGTTGACTCTTCCTCATAGAGCAAATGCAACCCAGTATTCTGCTCCTCTTGCATAAGCTCCTTTCTGTAGTGTACTTGCTGGCAGTCAGCCACTGGTATAACCATCAGCCCACCCCAAAGGATTACTGGCACAACTGTGAGCCAAAGTCAGATGTGTGAGGAGAAGACAAGGTAAAATGAAGTGAGATGAAAAACCAAAAAAATCTGATTCCTCCCCTGACCTGGGTTATGAATCCTGGCTTCATCATCACAGGCTCTACACAGTGTCAGTGGTATTCAGTCTCTGATATCTGCACTAATCATTCTGGATCAGCACTGAGGCTGGTCTTTAATCAGCAGCTGCATTCCTCAGGTATTACTGAAACAAACCCACAATCCCTATCAGAGCAGCCTGAGGCGCTGGGTGTTACTGCCAGCTGTCAGTCTGACCGCACGACGACATCACGACACGCAGACTCAACACAGGCTCAACACAGCCTGCTCAATATATCGATACACATGTTCATCTGTAATCCGCTTTGCAGAGCAGAGGTATTACCTGGAAATAGAAAGACCTTTTCACCCAGGCCCGTGGAAACAGACCCTTCGCCATCACAGAAATAGATCATCTCAATACGTGGAGCTGGCTGCGGGGATCATTCAGAATGCATGAGAGAAAGCGTCTTCCACATTAAAGAAAAATAGACCAAGACGACTCATCCGGCTCTCGACTGCACATTACTCGGTCTCGGCCCCAGGTGGATGATCCAGGAGCCGGGTGTGTCGGTGTGTGTTGTCCGTGTGTCTGATGTCGCTCTCTGGATCTGCTCTGTACAGCAGCTGCTGATTTTCAAGCAAAGCAACATACCTCACGCTGAGGAGGAGAAAAAAAACACGTAGGTTCAGGGCGCAGGCGCAACGTGTTGTTACACTGATAACAACATGTCACAGTTTTCAGTCCGATACTTCAAATCACAGACACGTGAGTGGTAGAGAGCGAGAACTCCGCCGCTGAGGGACCCACGTTGTTATCATTGAGTCCCGATGTCGTGTGGACGATAAGAGAGCTGGATCAAGCTAGCATACAGCACACTTCCGCCAAGCCTTTCACAGTAAAACCATTATTCAAACCGGTATTTCAGCGCCAAAACACAACTTCCGGTCAACTAATCCGAAATTAAATTAGTCTCTAAATAGCACACGATGTCGTAGCGCCAGTCAGGGGCCATTTTATTATAAGAACAACTGAGCTTTGTTAGTGTAATTGTACTTAATCTGCGAAGTTGGCCGGAATTTAAATTGTAATCCCGAAGATCACAACACAAGAAACTACTGAAAACACACACATATCCGTGTTATTGGTCTTTGAATGGGCGGATGTGGCTGCGCTCAGTGATTAAATGTCCTGCCTACATTTTCAAATGTTTAAAAAAAAAAGGTGAACGCAGCCGCAGCTCTTCCCATAATGCACCCCCCGATCACCAGCGGGAAACCAAAATGGCGAACGTGCTGGGGGAAAATGAACCGTTTGTTATTTTCTGAGGAAGACGCGAGCCCCTCAAGTTTCCGCGACGCGCTCTCGAGATAGATTCAACCGCAGGAAGGCGCGGGACGACGGCGGCTTCAGCTTCGGGCTCATTTTTTTCTTCGCACGAGTCGTTGGTATCAGCGGAGGTGACCGAATGAGGTATTGTTGTCATCATGTTTTCCTCCTGTCGGGGGGTGTGGGTCCGTCGGTCAGCGACCTGGCCGGGGCCACGGCGGCTCCGCATGCGGGGTGTTCATGCTAAGAACGAGGCCTGGTAACTAACGGCTAAAAACATCATTTTAACACGTTTTACGATCTCAACGTGTCTCTATCATCTCCACTGGCTCGTTTTTACCACCCGGTGCTCGAACAAAGGGAGTGTGGCACTGACGGACAGAGGCTTGGTGGAAACATAAAAAAAATAAAATCGAGCGCTTGTACATGTCAAAGATGAATCTCCCACAGCGTAAGATAACAAATAATCAATGTTATATTTGTAGAATTACAGTTACACGCTGTCTCTGACACGCTCGTGTGTTGAAAAGAGTTCACAATAACCTCCGATTTTAATTTAGGTGGGTCACAGACGTGCTCAGCAGTGATCTGCAGCCATGTGCTCGCTGGTTCTGGTCAATGAGCAATTAGCACTAATTATGAGAATAGTCAGGGGTCGTTTATTCCATTAGCGGGGAAAGGTCATGTGTTTGAACCACTGCTCTGGAACAACCTTCCATTGTGTTTTCCATCACCAGTACACATACAGGACAGTGCTGGCAATTATGCAGGGAATAAAACATCACCTGAAAATACTTAACCCATTCCAATATCCCACCCTCCCCCTGTTTTTCAGAGACTCAGGGGTTGTGGACCACCTGTCTGTCCATCACAGACCTCACCCCCAGCGGCAGCAACAGGCTGTGTCCTTGTCCCCCACAAGCCTCTCTGCTGGGGGAGAGTATGGAGATGACGACATGTCTGGCAGGTTCACAGAGGGACAGGACGTCCTGGCCAGGTGGTCAGACGGATTGTTCTACTTGGGGACAATCACAAAGGTAAGTGTGATTCCCTCTGGTGCACAGACATCCGGGCATTTCGGAGCTGTGACTAAGTCTGCATTTTGTTGGAGCTGCAAGCAAACAGGTTATCAGCATCAAGATAGAAATATGACTGTATTTTATGGTGCCAGAGGATAACTTTGAATTTGTGTATTGCATACGTTAGTTTCAGTAGAGTTTGCAGTAAAGTACAAGGCAATCCACAGGGACCGTCCTTCAGTCCACAAAATTTTAAACTTAATTTTAGCGCACTAGAGCAGTTGGCTGGAAAACAGATGTTATTGGATGACACATGTTCTACAAAAGAGACAAATACCAACTCCAAATCTTCATATTATCTTCCATCAGGTCACACTAACAAAAATACCACATATCAACAGAAAGGCACATTGAATTTCAGGGTAGAGTGTGACATCCTTGTGTGTGAAAGAATGTGTACCCATGGTAGGATGTCTGATGTATTGCTTGCTCCTGTAGATGTGAGTCTGTTGTCTGATTCCTGGGTGGTGTCTTTAAGAACAGTGTGGTATTCAGGAACACATCAGTTTTCTCTCCTTTTCAGATCGATCGGGAGAAGCAGCGATGCTTTGTTGTCTTTGAGGATCGGTCTAAGTCATGGGTTCTTTGGAAGGATATCCAGACTGGTAAGTTCATTCATTCATAAAATATGGATCTTTATCACTTTCTTGGGGGAGACCACCTGCTCTAAAGATTATTATGCAATGTTATTGCCCAGCTCTACATTTTAGCACCAGTGTTTTATTTAGGATAAATTCCTGGAGTTGCAGTGTTGCTGTTCTCTCCCACTCTGAAGAAGTTCAGCTTTTTTTATCTCCCTATACCCTTCCTGCTGACAGTTAACTGTCCAGTGTCTGGCATCAGTAACAGCAGAGAATAAAGCACATGTGGAGATGGACAGAGACACTAAAGTCTATACATTCAAAGATCATTCTGTTAAAATCCAAATATGTATTTATAGTTAAGTTAAACATGATTTGTAAGATTTAAAAAATTAAACATCTCATTAGATATTTCTTTTTTTAACATTGACTAGTTCCAACATGAGGTGATGCTTCTGTTTCTGCACAGCTGTATATTTACCGTTTTATAACTGATTTAGAAAGTTAACAGTGGTTGAAAGGTTTTCTGCTGACCTCCAGTGGATGAAGTTCCCACACCGCAATGTTTTATTACACTCTGACTGTGGTTACCAAGCAACAGCCTGATATTCTTTTACTCTTACTCATACTCACTAGCCTTTACGACAGCTAGCGGTGGTTGTTTGTCCTCACGTCTTCTGTCTGCTTCAGGGGATGAAGATGATGATGACGAGGACGATGATGACATTGTGTGCTCCATATGCCAGGATGAGACTTCAGAGGAACCCAATGAGATTGTCATTTGTGATAAGTGTGGACAAGGTACTTAAATTGAACAGCTCAGCTTTTGATCTCTAATCTCTGGCCGTGAGGGTTTTCCTTATTCTTGAATGATGAAGAATGATCCATTAGATAGCAGTTAAATCTAAATGTGTTTGTCGTCTTTAAAGGTTACCATCAGCTGTGCCACTCCCCCATCATTGATGCCTCTGTCATTGACTCCGATGACAAGTGGCTCTGCTCAGAGTGTGAGCTCACTTCTATGCCTAAGGTACAACTTTTTAATGAGTGTTTATTTACCTGACAAATAGCTGTTTTGTGAGAATCATTATATGCTCATCCTCAAACGTATGTAAAGCAAAATGGAGATGATCTGTCGGCAAATGACATGTTTGTTTGTGCTTGGTTTTATTTTCGGGTAAACAGAGAGGGGGTGGACACAGGAGGGGGGCATCTGCTAAAAGCTTCCTGCAGCCAGAGCAGCAGCAGCACATGGAGCTGCACCTCTCCTTCCCTTATGCCCTTGAAGAACTGGTGTGGGACCAAGGCCACAAGACTAACATCCAACAGTGTTACTGCTACTGTGGAGGCCCAGGAGAGTGAGTGTATTCGATACAAGAATCTGAATACAGAAATGTCCTACATGTGCATGTTTTTCAGAATCATATATTGCATACATGGGTACAGTTACCACTCTCTCTGGGTCTTTGGTTCTAGCTGGTACCTGAAGATGTTGCAGTGCAACAGGTGTCAGCAGTGGTTCCACGAGGCATGTCTCCATTGCTTAGAGATGCCCATGCTCTACGGAGACAGGTGCAAACACCACTCTTCTAAAATACATCTGGGTTTTCTTTAAGTTTTGGGAGGGGCAATCAGCATTTTCCCATCATTTTGAACCAGTGTGATGACAACATTTCACATAACACTTAGGCATCAGCAAGAAGAAAAGCCAGCTTATGGGGTACTGTGTTTTTCGCCCTCAGGTTTTATCTCTTTATTTGCTCTGTTTGCAATGGTGGACCAGAGTACCTCAGCCGACTGCCTCTCAGATGGTAAGTGAATCTCAAGAAATCAGATAACAGTCACAAGCACGTGGCTACACTCCTTTCCAAAGTAGTCTGTGTTCCCATTTTAAACCGAATGATCAAGATCTACAATGAAGCTCCAGTCTTACAAGTATCTTATTGTTTTTCTAAGAGACGGAACAAATAGATTAATATTTTCAATGTCCCACCGCTGCATAATTATAACCACTGCTGCTTCAGTTGAAGACAGTCTCCTGTCTGAGTGTCCTCCCTCCACTCTCCCCCTGACCTGCGCTCACTTTACACTTTAACAATAAACCCTGACACTAATCAGAATTTATTAGGATCTGAACAGACTGACGTCTACTTTGTGTTGATTTGCTTTAGAGTTTATGAGGCATGTATTTAAACACGTACACACTGTGGACACGTAGTACAATGGCTACACACAACACATGAAGTGCATAGCCTGGATATCAGTTAAATTAACTGGAACTTTGTGGATTCATGATCCGACACAATCGATTAATAACTAAATACATATGGTTATCAGTTTCAAACACACACAGGCTGCAGACAGGAGAAAAGTCCTTCCCGCAGTTAATCAGCAACGCAGAGGTGACGCCCTGTTTATCCAGGACCATAAATAAGAACTAGCAGGTTTCAGGATCAGCTCTAAGTCTGAGTGATTCAAAAAGAGCAGATTAATGAGATGTTGTGTTAATACGATGTTCGAAAACCAAATCATGAAAACTCTGCTTTTCCTAAAACGTATCAGGGAGGACGTCACACACTTGAGTCTGTACAACTTGAGTGTGATCCACAAGAAGAAGTACTTTGACTCTGAGATGGAGCTCATGGCTTACATCAATGGTAACTGGGAGCTGCTGCAGCTTGGGGAGGTAAGATGATAAGTCACCAGTTATTTAGTTCAAAAACAAAAAAGCATCAAGTCACGCACGTTCATCTTAATATGAATCTAGGAATACACAACAATTACTTTCCCAAAGTGTATGCTTGGTGAGAGTTAGTTTTGTCTTTTGCAACACCCAGAGCCATCCCCTTCGAAACTGAAAACATATATACACGTTTGGTTTTACTTTTGGTACTTTCCAGCCTTAAATATCACCAATTTCTCGCTGGTTCTAGCAAAAAAACTATGCGCCTGCTCATCACTTCTTACTGCTCTGAATAGAGTTCTTGCCAGTGGAAGTACAGCACAACACTTTTTGGGGGGGCGTAGAAGAGGGGATTTCTGGGAAAGGAAAATTACAGTTTTATCTGGGTGAAACTAATACAGTTTAAAGACATGGTTTCAAATAAATAGATAGATTTTGCGTACTTGCCCATTGCA